AACAAATATGCAGGAGAAAGTGGAGATGGATTGGACACTCGCTGAGGAAGCTGCTGGGTGACATCGTGCATCAGGCCATAGCTCGAGTGGAACCCGAAAGGGAATCGGCGAGTGGGACGTCCAAGGGTGACATGGAGGAGATTGTGTGAAGAAGAGGTGAAACAGTATGGACTAACATGGATGCAGATGAAAAGTACAGCAGAAGACAGAAGCAAGTGGAGACGTGTAGTTGAAGCCCTTTGTTCCACTAGGAATCCAAGGGAACAATAATAATAATGTTGGTGAATGTCTCTTTATATACTACTGATAAATCTTATCAGTAGAGCACGCCACATCAACAAGAAGAGTAAATTAAGCTTTGACCAGTAAGAATTAGTCGTCGATAACAGACACTAACAAAAGTATCCAGACAATTAGTTACCTTATGATATGTAAAGATGAGGCGACTTCTTTAACGGTGGTAAATTTCCCTCTACTTTAAGCAAGAAATACACCAACAGGAATAATCACATGATTCGCTTTTTGCACACACAAAAACAACAGTTAGATCGTTTTATTAAAGGTTAATAAAAAAAAGAAACAAAAATCAGGAAACTCTTGTCAGTACAGTAATGTAAATAAATTCTTATGCATGTTGATTATTTCTAACCCGAAATGCATAAGGAGAAAAGGTCAAATGTGAAAATAGAAAAAAAAATAACTAAAAAAGAACAAGGAAAGGTAAAAAAAAAAGAGATAGTAACATGATTTATTCATGCAAACAGCTGAGTTATTTTCATTTAGGCATCTTTTTTTCCGACTGAATATTATGCTGAATATAAGCATCAATTGAATTTTAGAGGTATGCTATTACCAACAATAATAATCATAATAATAATCATAACAACAAAAATGTTTCCTGCATAATTCAATGTTTCACGATTCAACCTTTTTTTAATATTTTTTTTTTGTATTCACCATCGTCGAGATAATAAATAACGATCTCAGGAGGTAGAAAAGAAACAATGCGAAGGAATTATTCCAGTGAATGAGTTAGGCAGAATTCATGTTTACATAAAACTGATTAAAAAACTAGATAGATACCTTAAAACAATAAGACAACAAATATTGGACCCTTACTGAATAGTAAATAAAAACAAATAAATATAAACAAATACATAAGTGTTTTAGATGATCATGGAGAATGTAAAGCTATAGAGAATCGTCCAAAACATTATTTACCTATGAATATATATGTATATGTTTATTTATATAATAGCTTTATTCTGAAAAGCGCGTTTAACATAGCGCGGGATTTTCAGCCAGTTCCATTTCAAAATAACTACCTCTTGTGTAGAATCTTCAGATAGGAGAATAATCGACTATACATCATCTGAAGCAATATTGTTCCACCCCACCCCACCCAAAGTATGCTTCAACGCTACTACACGATGTTCTTCCTCAATTTCTTTCGAAAAATTCCAAGCGTTAAGTAGAAAGTTGTTTGAACTTGTACGCAAGTATAGATTGTGGCTCTTTGTGATAATTGGAAAATTAAAACAACTTGAAATGGAGTAAGTACGAAGGATTTTAATGGGTAGAAAGTTTAGATAGCCCGTTGAGTTAAGCAGGTTATCATGCTTGTCTTAGATGGTTTGATGCAATCACCAGGATGCGGGCAATGAGTCTTGGTGACCACATTGCAAACTAAAGTGAGAGTTGTCAATCAGTGTCATATATATATATACTGGCTAAATTTCAAATATTGTGGCCATCAGTAATCTCAGATAATTAAAATAAAGCAAGTAGTTACTTAAATCAACACAAAGAATTTTCAAGAATGAGTTTGCAGGATTTCGATTTGCTTCAAGTTTGACCACGGATTGATGCCAGTTAGAGAACCATTGAAAACCAGGGAGTGCCAAGAAGATGTTTCGCCTTAATTTGGGACTCCTCAACAGTATGTACCTTACTCAGGGTTCAGACTTAGGACCTTCCTGTCGCAAGGTAACCAGTTGGACCCGATTCAATGACCAGCTCAAGAATTTCAACTTCTATCAATTTGTGATTTTAGTGAGACCGCCAACCATTGTCATCGGCGAGTATTTTTCCCCACTCCTGACATGGTGAACCCGACTGGTCACGACTTCACATTAGTGACTGGATACAGAAAGAAGTCCCCTGGAGTGCTAGTGAAAAGTCGTGACCAGTAGAGTACACCATGTCGGGGGTGAGGACAAATACTGGTCGATGACATTGGCTGATGGTCGCGCTATAATCACGAGTCAGTAGAAGTTGGAATTCATGTGCCATTGGATCGGTCCCAGTAGCTGAGTGGTCGGTCTACTAGCTTTCTTTATATCTTGAGGGTCGTAGGTGTGAACTCTGGGGGTAGGCAAGTACTACTGGAGAGTCCCGAACTGAGACAAAACAGCTGTGCAGCACTCACTGGTTTCCAATGATTCTTCGACTTACATCAACCAGTGATCAAACTTGAAATAAAAGATTTAATCAAAAATTGCAAGGAAATTCAGAACACACATTCTAAAAGTTTAAATTAGTCGATTTTCACTATTATTCCATGGGTGCCCACACACTTTGTGTAAGCAGGTAGTTGAATAATGTCAACATAAGATAATTCAGCAATACTTAGTGGACTAAGTGACTTTGCCTAATATATAAACATCATACAGATTACGAATATAAAAGAGATAAGAGGAAAATGGAAATAATATCGTCAAATATCGTATAGCACTGTGGAAAAAAGGTAAAGTGAATAAAGAAATAAATAATAATTACAATGCGAATAAAGATAAGAAGTAATTATTTTCCTTTGGTTCCTCATTGTGTAGTTTATCCCACATTCAGATTGGTAGTTACTTCTCACAGTTTTGTTTCATATCATAAAAGATCAGACTATGTTAATATATTGGATTGGATCCAATGGTTTTAGTTTGGCATAGGCATTAAGTATGATTCGAGATACTTCATTAAAGACTTCATTAAGAAACAAACACCTTAGCACATTTCATCTAGGAAAATTTACCTTCTTTATATTTTCAAGTATTGGTTTTGTAAGGATATTTTTTGTTTGATTGGTAGGGGGATTTCATCATGGGCTGACATCAGTTAGAGAACCACTAGGAAACCTGGAAGTACTGGACAGTTCTTTCCTCCGTCCTAGTTTGGGACACTTCATCAGTACTCACTCACCACCAGGGGTAGAACCCAGGACCCTCTGATTACAAGGAGGGCTCGTAAACCATTAAAACACTGGGACCTGATCCAATGGCCCATGAATTGGCAGAAGTTAGAATTCATGGGCCATTGGATCAAGTCCCAGTGTTTTAATGGTTTACGAGCTCTCCTTGTAACCAGAGGGTCCTGGGTTTGAACTTCTTCATATTTGTTGCTCATTTTATCAGTCATGTACCTGTTTAATACTAGTTAGGAGAGTCATACTCTTCTCTTTGTCATAATCTACCTACATGAACTGTTCAAGCTATTAGATGAACATGTAGGAAATTACGTACAAATATATGCTACCCAAATATACTGTATGACATTGGATTTTATGTAAGTGTTTCGTCGATTGTCATTCCTTCACCTTACACTCATCTAACCAGAAAATCCAACACTCTGTTGCTCAACCAAATGTGTGCTATTGTTCGAAGCGATCTATGATTTTATACTCATTATCTTTTCACATTGCATGCTTATGGTGGTCATGTTTAACAGGTAACGCTTAAGCATCTTAGCTTGTACCCTTTTTCTACCAACTCTTCTTAGTGGTGCATCGGTGGCACAGTGGTAGAATGCTTGTCATTCACGCATGTGGTCCGGAGCTCGATCCTCGGCCGACGCACTCCTTTACCTCACTAAGCCAGCAATAAGACTGGTAAAGAGGGAATGTTGTGCATGAGGTTAGCAACCCCATCACGTAAAAATAAACACCACTGCTACCGAAACTTCAAGTCTCTAGCTTGAAGCACTATGTTCCACTGGGAACGCAAAGGAATAAACAAACACAAAAAAAAATCAATGTTTGTGTGAAATAATAGAGATTTGTAGCTCAGGTAAATGATTTTGAATTAGTTGTATTCTTTAAACTGGTTGATTTAATTGAGAAGCTTTCGTAGTCTTTTTAGACGACGTCTTCAGCACAGGTTTCAGTATGAAATTCCATACTAAAACTTGAGCAGGAGATGGCATCCTATGTTTCACTAAGTTTATTAAAGGGCATCTCAAATAAGAAAAGATTCTTGTGAATTGTAGATGACTTGCTAATTATTTATGTAAAAAGAAAACCCAGGACCTTGGTGCATATACCTGTATAAGAATAAGAATAATAAGAAACTAACGTAGCACGCATAGCCATGTCTTAAGACCTGTTTTTCCTCATTCTGTAATTTTATAGACAGAAAACGTTTACAAACATTTGATGATGAATTAAGCCATTTCTGTGGCACGTGTCTATTGTTAATACTATGAACAGAGATTCAGTAAGCAACTTCTTTCTCTTTCTCTCTAGGAATGTTATACCTTCCATCCTGTTGTGCCATTCTGTATCAGTGGATGGATAGCAATGCTTAACTCTCTCCTTTGTCATTGGTGAGGACTAAGTTAAGCTAAATCCTAATGATCTCTCAGAGTGTTTAACATGAGTCATCTGCTTTAGCCAGTATCCTTGACTCTAAAGACTTCATCTAATATTCGATGAACTGAACTCTGCAGTTTCATTTAGTCTATAGAATTCATAAATCAATGGAGCTCAAAGTTGAGTGAAATTTCAGTTTGAATATCAACAAAAGTTTCGATCTCATCAGAAATCTAATGTAACCTCACTGACATTCCTTACTGGTATGATAACAATATAACGTTTTTTTTGAAAATTTAATGTTTCAGTGTTGAGATAAAAACAAGGGTATTGTAAGCAATAAAAAAATCACTTTCATTTTATTAGCGAACAAATGTTTAACATTTTAAGTTGAGAAAGAAATATTTTTAAAAAGTTTATTTACCTGAAAATTCCAAGGTACTTTGGCCAGTCTTTTCAGTTGGTTTTTCGCCTTTTGACTTTGTTTTAAAACCATATGACAAGCAGCTGCACCATAAATTGGTGCCACACTGTCCGGCTGAAAGATAAGTATGAAAGTGTTTAATAAAGTTAACCACATTGCATATAACTGTCTAAAAAAAGAAAATAAGACTCGCGAACGAATTTCAATTAATGTCGGTAGTCAACAATAGGTTTCTATCAGTTTGTAGGGTTTACAAGCCCATCAGGCATCAAAAGATGATCGTCTCGTGGATTTCTGACTTCTGTGAAATACCCAGAATGACCCGATCAATTTACTAAAAGGAAATGTCTAACAGTCAACCTGCATATTTGTTATATCAAGGCCCTCGAGTAGGAACCCGAATGGGAAACGCTGAGTTAGTCGTCCAAGGGTGACATGGAGGAGGAGGGCAGGTGAAAAGGAGACGAAAGCAAGTGGGCAGACGTGGAGCCAGGTGAAATTGTTGATGGAGAACCGAACGCAATGGAAACGTGAGGCTGAAGCCCTATGTTCCTCTAGGAACTAAAGAAAGCAGTAACAATAATAGCGTAACTACCTACTCCATTATATTTAATCGCAGATATTTAAATATACTCAGATTTATTATAAAAAACTCGTCTGATCCAGGTGATATTGATGATCATTAGTTAACACCAGGAGCATAAATTGCATTGTTTTGTTTCATATGAACTGTAATCTATCGATAAACTACTAAAGCATAAAAAAAATTGCTTAAAGAATTTATTTCAATAGGTAGTAGTTTCCTAGACGTGATGTTAAAGCATACCACTAAATTCATCAGTTTCAGTAAACACGTTGTCAGTGCTGGTGAACGCTGAATCATTCGTTTGTTTAAACTGGTCTCCATAATGGCGCAAGACAAGAGGGCTGTCAATGCTTGATCGTGTACTGGTTGGTAGAAGATTGGAGGAATACGATTAGAAATATTGTTGTACATTATATTAACGTTTATTTACAGACTTTAGCACTAATCAGTCATTGTAAATCCGTTACACTATCGGTTGAATGATGGACAATCGTGTTGCTCATCCGTTTTCTGTTGTTCTGCATCAGTTAATGTGCATTATATTTTGTGTATTAGGTTTAGTCTTCTGAAACCAGGATCTATGAGATCTGGATATTTGACACATATCTTGCTAGTAAATGTCTTTTGATAGCCATATCTAGGCTGCAGGCCCCAGAGTTAGATACATAAAATTTCATCTTCATTGTTTCACGGTAGTACATGTGACTTAAGCCTTCAAAAATGCTTAGTCCTTACTAATATCAAAGTGGCGCCCATTCAAACTGATGTATTTTAAGGATACTCCATATCACCTCCAGTTCCATACAGGAAATAAAACTCCACAATTTGACTTTCTTGTTTCATCGCGTTTCTGAACAAATGTCCTATATGACTTTTCGGATGATTACTTTCACGTCAAACTCAAAAACATCAAATTAAACTTTTTGTCAAAATGATTGTACAGTATTATATATATATATTATACCAAGAGGCAAACTGGCCTCTGCGAGAACTGGTGTGGAATCATGCTCTTGTCCACACTAAGGATGTTTCGAATGCAGAACTCCGTTCGGAATAAGCTAAATTCAGGAAAATCAAACTATGTGCTGACCAAATTGCAACTCTACGCATCATCATCATCGAACAAAGCATAGAATGTCAGTCAAACCACTATCTCAATTTCATCGACTTCGAAAAGGACTTCGACAGGCAGCGTTGACCGAGAAGTAATTTGGAAACTGCTACAACACTGTGGTGTGGAATGCCCGAGTCTTTATGAACCTCATTCAACAGTTGGCTATATGACAATGCCACATGTCAGGTGATCCACAACGGAAAATTCAGCGACGCTTCTAAAGTGAATGCAGTAATAAGACAAAGGCGCCTACTAATACTGATGATATCTTTAATTGTTGTAGACTAGATTATATGGAAGACTGTGGAGAGAGAGAGAAAGCAGGAGTACTTTGGAATGATTAGAAGACTCCAAAAGATCATGATTTAACGTGTGGATGATTTATGTTTAATGTCACATAAACTCGAGGACTTAAAGGTGAAACCAACAAAGTGGCAGAAGAGGCTGGCAGAGAAGACAGGACTTCAATTGAACATAGATAAGAAAAAGGTGATGAAGATAACCAACCGACGAGAAAAACAACAAACACCAATCACTGTCAACGGGAGAAATTTGGAAGAGATTACTTCCTTCACTTATCTAGGTAATACCGTTTCATCTACATATGAGTATGTCAAAACCGGTGAGAATCGGAAAGGCGATACGGGCCCTCATCACTCTGAAATCAGTGTGGAAATCTTCTGCATACAAAACAGCAAGTTTAGGATTTTCAACACTGATGTTAAGTCAATTCTTACACATGGTTTGGAGACTCTTATCAACAGCTGCCTTCGCTGGCTCCATATTAAAGATCAAATGGCCAGAAAGAAATAGCGACGGGAAACTCTGGCAACAAACCAAACAAGAACCTATTGCACAACTAGCAAATATTCTGAAGAAAATAGAGATGGATCGGGGATACACTGAGGAAACCATTAGGTGACATTACATGCTAGGCACACCCTCGATTGGAACTCAAATGGGAAAGGACGAATGGAGCCTCCGAGAATGACAGATGAAGCAGATCATGCGAGGAGGCGATAAGAGACTTTAGGTAATCATGAAGTCAGCTAAGGAGGACTGAAGAGAATAGGAAGAAGTGGCGATGTACTCTTGGAGCCCTATTTTCCACTCGGAAACCAAGAGAACAGTAATATAACAGTATCAGCGGAAATACTTCGTCATGTGATTAGTTGGTAATTAATTACACTTGTTTCTCCAGAGAATTTTTTGTTTTAAAATAAGCCTATATTTTCATTTTACACTTCGTCTATCTACTTGACAGTTAGACATGTTTCAGCTACCACAGTCGTTTTATAATTTACAGTGGAAATTCGTTGTATACAAATAAATGGTCTTAGTTAAATTTTGGAACAATTCATCTTTTGTAATCTGAAATCACAAATAGGAATAACAAGATTAAGATACTTTTCTACTTTAGTAACTTTTCATTCTCTTACATCTTCTTGTGACATTTGAGCAAATGTTTCCAAAGCAGATTCTAATTTCGACTTTGATTTTGTTGCCAATAATAATAAAGTTGAGATGAAACGAAATCGTTTTTTATTTCTTACCACTTTCACTTCCTATATATTAATAAAAATTAAAATATAAAAAAAGATGACGGGAATGAAAATGAACATCTACGAAATAAAACTAAAAAAAAACAAACGAATTTTTAAGTATAGCGAAAATATTCATTCAAACATTTAGAAGACAAAAGAAAATTTGAGCGAAGAATATCCTTTCTGATAATTTTCTCTTCCGACTCTAAAGTTATATATATGTTTATATTTATACGTAGAATATTCTAGCGTAGTCGCCATCAACAGTAATGGCGTTTTTAAATATACATTCTACTTAACAATATTTGATTCTGTTAGTCCACATTGTTTCAAGCATCCATAGAATCGTAAAGCCTGATGAGAATTTACCGAAAATACGTACTTGCTTGCTTTAATCGTGTTCTCTAAATCTCTGTTAATCAGTACTTGAAAACACTCTGAAACTGTCCTCTAATTTCATTCAGAAGATTGTATTGTGTCATCTTCTCCACGTAATGGAAATATGTCATCCGTGTAGATTAAGTTTCTCCCGAGAGCTTCAATCTCTGTCATCGCAAATTTTAAAATGAAAAATCAAGAAATCATCATATAGGTATGCATGACATCCTTATAACATGCATCAGACTATCTTCCACTTCTCTCAGATTTTCATGTATGTTTTTGTGTAAATATTTATGTTACTTAAAACTTTGAAAGTGATTTTGTCACTTCAAAATCAGATTTAAGCCTTTTCTACATGAATTCTTAGCGAATTAATCTGTACACCATTTTAGTACAGATAACCGTGAGGTAAGTCTAAAACCACTGAAGAGGAACTAACATTTCTGGCTTTATCTGCAGCAAATTAATGAGGTTTTAGTGCATTCGGAACAGGAATAGAATGGAGAACTTTCAACATATTTGACGCAGAAAACTGAAGTAACACAAATAAGGTTCCTTAGATGCAGGTAAAATGGTGCATGAATAAGTGAAGTGGAAATATTCGCACAAAATGTTCGGTAAAGTTTTGTGTGTTCCATCAATTTTAGATAGACTCTTGCTTCTTAGAATGCAAAGTACAGCAGAAATATGTTATTCTTCTCCAAGTTCTTTACCCACTACTGCTTGTACCGAGACACATTTCTGCTTAACATTGTCGTACATAACAGGTGTATGTCAACTGAAATAAATCTGATAATGAGTTTAAGTGTAAATCACTTTGAAACAGATTCTAACATTACGCACAATAGACTACTGGTATTAAAATGCGATGACCCACACTATGCTTACCTTTAACAGATGCTCTGCTGTTTCATAGCCAATAGTAGAATTCCTTGATGATTCGTCACCAGAATTTAATGTGTTAGAATTATTTGAATTTATATTAGTATTACCATTGAGTTGTGAACCTGTTTCAGTACCAAATAAATGATTATTTGGATTAATACATATTTCAACCATTCGATAGATTGTCTCTTCCATATATTCTGGATCTTTTCGACAACGATTGAAATGATCAAGAGCTACTGTTGCTTCGCCTGTGAATCTAAACAGAACAAGTGTTAAAAATAGTTTCTTCTGATATTGAAAAAAACTGAATTGTTAATTTACTTTCAAACGGTTTTATATTTATACTCCACTTGAAATGTAATACTAATCTGAATACTACATTAAGATAAACAATAAATATCACGTAATTATCCTGAGTCATTGTGGTCGTGAACGTGCATCCGCTTGAGGGCGATTGAAAACTTAAGTGCACTGGATAGATGTTCCCCTGTAGTTTTAGACTACTGAGTGGTGTACTGAGAGTCATCTGACTGGCTGAGTCTAGAAGCAGTTTACTGACTGCCCCCTAACTGTGTTGGGCATTACATTTCACACGGTCTTGTGTTGGGGAAATTTAGAGCTGAGACTAGACAGCACGTTAATGCTCTTTCTATTTTACTGGTTTCCTTATTACCCATACAATTCACCAAATGCGATACCTCACCGTTTCAAAATTTACAACTGATGAACTAAAAAGAAAAATTGATCAATAAACCTACTGAAGAATGTTCACGTCAGATAATACTAACTTAATAAACATTCTAAAAGGGAGATACATTGAATCCCAGTTCCTATTAATACGTCTTAAAATCTTTTTATATGAACTTCATTATATCCTTGTAGACAGTCAAATTAATTGGATTCCTTTTTGTATGAAACCTTAATTCTTCCTAATAATCCTTTTTTTTCAACTATCAAACCACCAACTCGATGGCAGCTACCATTAATCATAAACCTGCTGCTTTTTTCATTACTTGAAAAATTCTGGCTATATCTTCATACTTGAATGTTTTGGAAAACAAAAACTTGAACATTAAAACATCATTAAATATATATACGACCTAAACATGTATGAAGAAATGATAAGAGGATAAAAATCTCAAGTGATATTTAGATAAACTATATCAGCAGTTGATAGCACACTGTCAAATCGGCCAGTTACATTTCCTGAAATGGGTGCAGTGTTTAGACAGTTGAATCTTCTATTAAGAATAAGATGAAAGCGATATTCATGACTTCTACATCTAGAAAAAACAAAAAAATTGAGCAAAGAATATCCTTTTCGATAATTTCCCCTTCCAGCTCTACAATTCTATATATAGAATATTCTAGAATAGTTGTCATTAATAGTATTGGTGTTATGAATACTGTCGATTTGTTCAGTTAGATCAATGGAATTACGCTTCAACAAAGACTATTAACTTAAAAGCATAAAAATGTAATTGCAAATAGAATATCAAATAAAATCAAGAAAATTTCCACAACAAATTGAGGATCAGTAAAACCAAAATTGATGGCCAAGGTGCCAAGGACTGGACAGTGTCTGAACAAACCAACTTCGTTTGAATACATAAGTTAGGTTTATTAATGTGGATCCCAACAGCCAGCTTGAGCAGTATGTAGTGGATGAACTCTTAAGGTGAAGTTGAGATTACTTGATATGTGGTAGATGAATTTGAAAGCCGCCTTGTTTACATCAATCTTGTGTTCTGTATCCACGAAATGAGTTAGAGTCACTCTACGAATGGATTTTGTTTGTCCCTCACTAAAGCCCCATGCAGGAGGGTGTTCAGAAATCCGGCGATAAACGTGCCTAATTGTACAGTCTATGTAACTGACTGGCTCAAAAGCAGCAATCAAATTGGTAGATACACACAGAAGAGGCGAAATTAGACAGTTTATCTTCAGCTACACCTGAACGCAACATAGGGTTGGTTTTGAAGACACAGTATAACTCAGTAGGACCGAATGTTCTTTTTACCGCTGCATTCCTTATGCGTTGTGTTAATATCCCACTGATGTTATCTCCAAGGAAGTGAAGTTGTAAGAACAAGACCTTCCTTTTTCGGAACTGTTGGTACTTTGACCTGCCTTAACTTTTGATTCATATTCTCATTGATGAATTTTTCTCTGTAACCGTCCTCACTCAGCAACTATTAAATAATAATATGCTCTTTATCAAGACATTCTAGTATATTCTGTGTCTATAAACGATGCATCGGTGGCACAGCGGTTAGGATTCTCGCCGACCATGCACATGGTCCGGGGCTCGATCCGCTGCCGACGCATACCTGATATCACTGGTCGGCCTGCAAAATTTGGGCTACCGATATCATATGCTGAAAATTCCATATTTGTACCAAAAATACGGTGTGGAATCAAGCTATAATCAAAAAATATATATATATAACTGTAGAGCCAGAAAAGGAAATTATCGAAAAGGATATTCCTTGATTAATTTTTTTGTTTTTTTTTAAATGCCTGAGTGAATATTTTCGCTATACTGAAAACTTCTAATTCTGTAGGTGAATTCACTTAGGTAGCGTAGAAGTCTGAGTATTATTTACAGCCTTGTATCTGACGTCACTTCTGGGAACTACTTGTTTCAAATAACATTGTGACAGCTCTTTATCAGCTTGTGTTCTGTATGTGTGTGTGTGTGTGTGTGTAAGAATCTTTGATTTTTCGCCATTTTTGTAAATCCAGTTATCTTACAATATCGTATTGATGAGTTATTTGCATTTTTTTTGTCATTCAATACAAACTTGTTTTTCATGACGTAAGTAAAACACACCCAAAGTGTTTCACAATATATAAATATTGAAGTTCTCATCATAAAATAATTTCAGTTTAGTTTGTTCATTTAGCCTTTATGATATTTGACGATTACACAACAACTGTCATTTCATGTGAAATAGAATATTTTGACTTTGATATAGTTTTTTTTATTCTTCTCATTGTCGTATATATCCAATGGAACTTCTCATAACCGAGAAGGAAGGAAGTAAACAAAGAATTTGAAAAGTACGCAAAACGATTACAAAATAAGAGAGGCCCTAAGAATTAGTAGGAGGTTAATTTTATACTCTAAAAAATGTTAATGAATGCTTTTATTTTTCTCTCCTTACGAGTGATACAATCCACGACAATAATTCAAACCAGATGAATTTTCACCTTGCGGATCAAGTAACTTGGCTTTATCTAGAAATTCTGGAATACGCGATAGTGAGCCAGATCTTCGAAGAATTTCAATAAAACTTGACAGAGCATCATAATTCACTGAAATATATAATAATGAGGAGAGAAAAAAAAGAATATGAGGATAACAGTTTCGCTGGTTAAAATAGACTAGACTAACGAAAATAAGCAAATCACTCTATCAATAACCAAAGTTCGTTGCTTAGAATAATGTTAATTGAAAATAAAGGTAGTCATCAACTGTTGAATTCATTTACTTCTGGAGACACGTAGAGAGGTGTAAGCTGCATGGTTCGAGTTATAGGGATTGTAGAAATGGGTGTTTAGGGGTTACTAGTGAAATGATACAAAAAATCATTCACAATGGTGCAGATTTATTTACTCAGTATTACCTCTAATATTCTGAACACGTTCACTGGTCTTCATTCAGTTACTGTCTTCCCTATATATTTATGTTTGTTTGTCATAGGATCTTTCTGTTTCCATTTAACAATCTTATGTGTGCTTATTAGATTAGTGCAGTAGATTGGATTAATACCTTTTTCCCAACTTCTAATCAAAACTGCATGGTTACGTAATGTTCCCAAATGTCATGGAAATGCTAATAAAAGTCACTTATTAACATTAGCTAGTAAAAAAATATGAATCCACAAGTCAGAAAAACAATGATGAAGAAATTACGGAATATACACATTGGGTCATAGGAGTTATTAAAAGGACAATTGCAGCAAAGAAAATTTTCTTTTCGACGAAGTCATCATCTAGGCTGTACATTCGTGTATTTATATCAAATGGATGGGAAAGTTCCAGAATGATTTCCGGTTAAGGGTCAAATTAATAAAAATTAAAATTAGGAATTAGAATGCCATAATAAACAGGGGGACGGATAAAACTCGAACAAAGTAGCATTATAATAACTAAGACGATTGACATTGTGCAATTGGGGGTTAGAAATGTAGAAATAACAAAATATACAGGATGTTTGGATAAAAAACTAATATGATGAATAACTGTTTATGCAATCAGGGATTAAATATGTAGAAATAGTAAAATGACAAAATAAACAGGAAGAGTGGATATGAAAATATGGTAGGGTAGATAGGGATTAAGAAAAACTTAAAATAACATGAATAAACAAGAAGTTTAGACAAGAAAGGCGATGAGATTGTCATTACTAAAAAATTTTACCTGTTTATGATGGCCATGACAGGGAGAGGGGTTGGACGCAATTCTTTTGGATACGAAGCGTGGGTTTGAGCTTTTGGATAGCTAGCGCCTCAGCTTGACTCCCTTTGGTAGGTTCGATTGAATCTTGTATATTACTTTGAAGGATTTTTCGAAAGGAGCTGAATGTCCTGAGTTGACCAGATGTTCTGTCACTGAACTGTATACACGTTTTCGGTCTCCTTTTACTAGCCAGGCTGGGTAGTGTTTGAGAGCGCGTTTTTCAAGTCGGCGCATGGTACGGCCGATGTACTCAGCTCCACAAGAGCAAGTAAACTGGTACATGCACGTTGAGGTGGCCCAATGCGACAGCTTGTCATTCACGTTCTGGCTGAACAGTTTCTTGCTAGAAAACGTCAGTCGTAGGCTCGCGGCGAAGTATGTTTTCCTAAGAGATTTGCAGAGGCGTTTGCGAAGGATTTCTGCTTCAATATCACCTTTGAATTCTAGATTAAGCAGAAGTATTTTCTTTGGAACGGATTGGACTTGTTCTGAAGTCTTCTTAGATTTGAGGTTTTTGTCTATCTTGGCGGGAAACCATTTTCCATCAGGGTTTTTCGGAGATTATGCAGTTCTTCTTCAATCACTTCCTCGCTGCATATCTCCCGAATCCTCGAGGAAAGAGCTTATATCAGGTTCCTCTTTCTGCTTAGGGGCACGAAGCTTTGAAAGTTGATGAATTGCCCATTCCATGTAGACTTTTTGTATATGGATCTTTTCAGAGAGTTGTTAGCGTTTCTTGTCAGCTGGACGTCGAGGAAGTGGAACATTTCGTCGGATTCAGTCTCAAGTGTAAAGTCAATGCTTGGGTGGGCGTTATTGAAGATTTGAAGTAGGTTTTTTAAATCACAATTCTCATCACAAATAATGAAAGTATCATCGATGTATCTCTTGTAGAGATGGAGGTCGTTGATAGTTGATGATAAGGCGTTGTTTTCTAAGCTAGTCAAAAAACAGTCGGCTAATAGGGGTCCTAAGGGAGAACCCATTGCTACTCCATCTATTTGCTTGCATATTTCCTTGTTGAAACTAAAGTATACGTTGAAGGTGCATCGTTGTAACAGTTCTTTCAGGTAATGGATCGGTATACCGACATCGATGCTATTGGATTGAATGTAGTCGCAAAGGAAACAAACGGTTTCTGTCAATGGAACGTTGGTGAAGAGAGAGACAACATCCAGGGAGACCATTTTCTTTTCTGGCACACTGACATTCTTAATTGAATCAAAAAAGTCGAATGTGTCAAGGAGGCTGTGTCTTGAAAGCTTCTCTTGAAGAAAATACAAAGATGGATTACGTAGCAAATTACTATACAATTATAAAGAGATTTAAGTTGGCGGTAGTGTATACATTCCGGGGCTTCTGTTGTGTACAGAATATCTACAGATAAAAACTATTCCTCCTTCTAGATACGTAATTTAACATGTTTTTATTACCAACAAACATTAATGAATGATTTTTAGAGGCATTTCAATCACATTTTAACTGATTAAAAATGCCCATTAAAATTTTCAAAAGAATGTTTACTGAGCAAAGAATACTCTTTTCGATAACCCCTAATTCATCAGGTTCTACAGTTATATATATACATTTTAGTGAATGAATGAACTAGTGTTATGAACACTATTAATGATGCCTGAATAACATCAAATCAATAATACCAATAGATTACGGTTCAATACCAGTATTGAAGAATCCCTCTCTATCATCTACCGGGTACCAAATAAATTGCCAAAAACACCGAGGTACCGCATGCTTTGTGTGCAAAAGTAGCAAATCCAGCCACTACTACTGCCCTGGTAGACCTTCAGTGAAGACTTTAAATTCATGAATTTGTATTATTGTCTTTCCTAATTTTTCTAACATTCAGTTTATTGTTATGTTGATGCTATTGAACTGTAATCCATTGATATTATTATTATTGATTCTATGTTATTTAAACATTAATGTTGTTAGTAGCACTAATTCATTCACTACTATGTATATATAACTGTAGGACCTGATGAAGAGCAGGTTATCAGAAGGAATATTCTTTGTTCAGTAACCATTCTTTTGAAAATCTCTATGACGTTTTAGAACACTAATTAAATATACGATTTTGAAGGTAAGTTACGAAACGTATATTCTTTAGTGACCTACGTCTTTTTAACTCGTATCGCCTGGGTATCTTCTACACTTTAATGCACTCTGATGCAGATTTTAGCGTTAATGTTTTAATAATTCAGTAAAATATTAACAGATACAATCTCATTTTGAATGTGTTAAGTGAGAATGCAGAAGTGGATCAGTACTTCCGAAAGATAATGATAACAAATAATAGCTTTATTGCAAACAGTACTTTTGGTACAAATTTGGAATTTTCATGTAGTTGTGTTCTCTGAGCTGGATAGTTTATTTGCGAAGCTTTCATTACCCTACTAGGCAGCATCTTCAGCACATACTTCAATTTGAAGTGAGCTTTTAGATTTCTCCACCAGTTTATAAGTCATCTCTCCTGGTGCCCCTGAACGTGATTGCTTAGTTCTATATTTTAACACCCTCTATGCTAATTGTATTGGAACTGATTGTTTCCTCGACTTGAACTTTGACACTTTGTGTGTCTTATCGACTGGTAAATTTTGTCTATAGCAAATAAATCTATCCAGCTCAGAGAACACAACTACATCGAAATCATCCACCTGACCTACGAATCTTCTCCATCATACTTAAATTTGGAATTTCCAGCATTGTGAATTGTTGGTAACAGATGGTTGGAGGCAATCGGCAGGAAGCCTAGCACCTAGGTTTCGTGCTAGTTGGCACTCATCATCAAGGCGTATCTGCAACCTTGAAGGAATTCATGTTCCTTCTGAAATTCGAACTGGCGCCACCCAGTGAGTAATGCAGTCAGAGACTTTACCACTGAGCTATTCGGGCTCACGATTGACCTCCAGTAGGACTGTATTGGATATTTTTGATTGCACACTAGTCAGTAACTAGTGTTATAAGTGTGTCTCTAGTTCTATCTTCGCTGGAGACTGAATTCTATTAGTCAAGCTTGCAATGTGGCCACCATGCCACTAGGTGGCTCGCCATTACGGTGCACTGTGATGGTTGGAGGACTAGACGCATTACACTAGTTCCTGACTAGTGTGCAATCAAAAATTTTTAGCATGTCACACAGTACTGTTTCTGAATTTCCCATTAGAGCGGCAATAATTAAAATAGAGTATTTACATTGGTAATAGTTTACATTAATAATATTAATTAGTAAGAAATGAATATCAAATTAAATCAATTGAAAATATTAACGACAATGTAACCGTGAGAGTGCGTCGGTGGCACAGCGGTTAAGACGCTCGCCGACCATGCACATGGTTCGGGGTTCGATCCCCGGCCGACGCACTCCTTTACCTCACTAAGTCACAAATAATGCTGTTGAAGAGGAAAGGTTGGGCATGAGGCTAGCAACCCCATCCTGTAAAATAAGCACTGATACAGAAACTCCAAGCCACTAGCTTGAAGCCCTATGTTCCACTGGGGAACGTGAAGGAAACAAAAAAAAACCGTGAGAACAAACAGCAATGCTATTTACTTAGAGTTCCACAGTAAGTCGGTAATTCCCTTGTTTTACACTTTTCTCATCCCATAAAATGTGTGTTAAATAAGGTATTGTAAAGTTTTTATTCCTAGTCGTCCGAGCATACAGTCTCCTTCTAGACTAAATTTTTTAAAATTACATAATAAGTTTTTGAGGACAAATTCTACCAGTATCTGATTGATCTTATGAATTCTTCATTAAATATAATTACAATTGTACAGTAGCTTATGAAAATGAATCGTCGAAAATAAAATTTTCTTCGCTGTTTACGTCCTTTTCTTATGATACTATAGTTGCTTCTAGTTCAACCCAATGAGATGCAAGGAGAGAGTTGTGTATGGAGAGAATTTTCAGAGTCTGATAGGATGATATTTGCCAATTTCTTGCAGGAGTCTATGTGTCTATCTACAATAGTATTAACGATTTGGTTTAGCAACGCCCCACTCACTCTACTCAGTATAACAAAGTCTTCCTCAAGTAGCCCAGTAAAGATTAAGGTGGAACAGTAAAGAAGTATAGGCAGAATACAAGAATTAAAAAACGGTAACAGTAGAGACAGAATGATACCAGATCGTCTTAACTTCCCTACACAGAACGTCAAACGAAATATCTTTCTGGAAACTAACATGATTGGTGGGAAGACCAGGAAAGGTGATCAGAGGAAATACAAAGACCAAGATGTTTAACATTCAAAAATGCATGCAAGAATCAATGATGTGTGTCTCTGAAAATTCAATGAAGCATAAGCGTTCTACTATTTAAAAAAAAATCTTATTTTCAGATAAATAACCTTAACAAGTATAAAAGAAATTTCGTGTACTGCGAATAATGTCAGCGAGTGAAATGTCAGCCTACTGAAATTTCCCACTTCATTCTTCAATAAAATAAACTACTTTGATTCTTTACCAAATAAATAAGAATATTCTGTAAACGCTTTAAATTCCAGGATACTTCATTAAATAACTTAAATCAATGATTAGTATTGTGCATAGTTTTAAGTGCTATTTTCAGAAGGAAGAAAAATAAACAACTTACACGGATTTTTATTTAACACATTCTCTAAATGTTTACTTGCAGCTTCAAAATCACCCATTGCCACCATAAGCTTAGACATAAGAATAGCAGCCAGTGGAATGTTTGGCAACCAGTTAGATAATAAAGATGCATTGTGCACCTTTTTATCCTTTTGTTGCTGTTGTTGTTGTTGTTTCAGTGGAATGCATAAATTTTTAGATGAATTTACATCCGTAGAAGATTCCTGTTTTGCTATTGTATTTAAATAGCTCATTTCTATTTCTTCCTGAAATACAAAACAAATTATTCAGAGAAAAGTTTTATGTTTGCTAATGCTTAATGCTGATGCGAAAAGAGATATTAGATGAAATAATTTATTGTATTACTTTGCCATCCAAGTAGAATATAAGGCTTCAGGCTTCAGGTTTGAAGTTTCAATAGCAGTTGTGTTTATTTTTACAGGATTGGATCGCTAGTATTATACCTCATCTACCTTCTTTACTGGGCTTACTACCAGCTAAAAGAGATTTAGGAGTGAGTCGGCCTGAGTTCGAACACCGGACTGCTTTCGTGGTTGGTAATCACTCTACCACTGAACCACCGATGCACTAGATGAAATTAAGTACCGCCATTTTTTTGTTAGAATTATAATCTGGGTCAGGTGAACATTTAACAACTTTGTAATATAATGTGAACTCTATGAGAGCTATAATTTCCTAAACTCAATGTCAGCAGATTGTAATTCTATGATACAGATTAATGAAATATGCTTCAAAGTAAATTAAAGTGTAATGTAATACATGACGAAATTACAAAATCCCAGTCAGTTATTCTAAATACTAGATGAAATACTAGCCAGTGAAGAAACAAGATCGGTCACCGGGACAAGAAGTTACATCAGCACATGGTATCACTAACTTCTAGTCCCTGTCATATGCAAACTTGATTGAAGATCTGTTGGCTCCAAGAATGATTATCTACGAATTCTACTTAGTACAGCTTGAAGTGGCGTACACTTTAAAATATGTTTGTTTCACTTTATCCATTTCTGTAAGCACTCCATTTCTCGTGAGACTAATAATTTTGAAGTTAAGCGTAAACTATTTTCTACAACTTACGTAATTGTTACTGATTAAAATGGATCGATCGGTAAAAGGCCTTTATCAAACAAGCTAAACTTGTTGAGTTCTCATAATGTCGATTATAGGGATTAAGTTATTAGATTTCTCGGAACATAATTGATTTCAAGGTAGAATACATAATGAACTGATGTTATATGAAAGAACCACTGGAAATAAAAGAATGTCAACACTTTTTGAGCATAATTTAATAATCTTCATTCCTCATACAGTAGTACAATCCTGACACATAGAATCCATGTTCTTGGCATTACAAGAAACACAAGCTAACAACCAACTGATATCAGTGCATGGTATACTCCCACTACCTTTAATATTATCAGTGAAAACCTACTATTACACCTAGTCTTATTGATGAGGGCTTCTCATTAGAACTTTGAAAAACCACCTTAACATTAATCAGTAATCAATAAGAGGCTGGAAGTGAGATGTCACAAAAGCAAAACTCCAAGTTACATGGATTGCTGTAATCTACGTACACTCCCCTCACTTCATGACTCAATAGTATATATACTATTCCCCCAATGTATAGGTTAATAATTAAGATATTCTTAACTCATGCATTTTTAAACTTAAACTGATTTGTGTACGTTGTTCGAAACCATGACCCAAAACACTTCAATGTGGTCAGTTAGTGGCTTACAACTACTCATATAAACCAACCTTATATACAGCTCGTTTGCCGACGTCAACTCTGATACAATTTACGTTATCATACGAAGCATATATTGTGGTTTGAGTTTGCTGTTTCTAGAGAAAACATTATTGGAATTTTACTACAGTAGAAATGATTTCTAGTTCACCTGAGTCTTCTTTCCTAAATGAAACAAACGCGACTACATCAATGAGAATATAGATATCTGCTAACAGACACAGCAGAGATATGTTGTAGATGCTGAGTGGCTCTTTCTTTAGGATCAGTACTGCTAGCTGAAACAGGATTTGGTTGACAAACTAAGCACAACATAAACCCATAGGTTTTCTACATGTTCCTCTGAAAAATATAGGGAAATTCAGGTTACTTGAGTGAAGTCGTAAAGATGTTAAGAATTAAATTACTGGTTAAGGATTCTGTATGGAACTCAAAATCGACACCAGATATGTTTACTTTCACTTATGGAGTTTTAAAATTTTTAATTGCCTGTAAATTAATTATCTTCCTTTCTTTTCGTCTCTTACAATGTAATTCTCTTACTTTTTAGAAAGTAAGACAGTATGGAAATATCTACTTCAGTGTAAAACTTACACACTAATCCCTGTAGCTGTCTGCTTCAACAATATTAAAAATTCCAGAAACTGTGTGATATTTGTTAAGTAGACCTAATTATGAAACATTCAGTGTGGAGTTAATGGATGGAACATTGGAAATAAGTTATTTTTCTAACATTCCAGTATTATTTTCAGATATATTTTTGTTTGTAACTGTGATGAGTTAAAAACATCCAGATTCCATAATTCCACTTCTTTTCATTCCTCGAATTTTCAGTCATCTTCATAGTTTTCAAAAGGAATTCACTGCGTGCACGACTAATGAACCAGATCTATTTAATGAATTCATATAACTGCACATGTATTCTTGTTTAATTGAATCATGGTAATATATTTTACTTTACCATGAGTGTTATCACTTTAAATAGCTGGAAACCACATCATTTCTAACATCTGTATACGGCAGTTTCGTATCTCTGTTTCCGAGAAAAAAACGTTTTTTTCAATACAACTCTATTAGCCTCTTAATTCTGTAGTATTATCATAACATATGGTGCTCACTAAGACAGATTTTCGGGATTTATACACACTTAACCTTTGCTTTTTTAGACGAATACATTGTGCACTTAAGGTACAACAATATCAAGAAAGGTATAAATAAACATATGCATTTCAAACGTAATATTCCGCATAGTAATGTGTTAGTAGCACGGTAAAGCGCATTTTCGAATAGTACAATAAGGAATGAATGCATATCCAATCAGAACTTTAACTTTCTATCATCCATAATCATGTCAATACTCGATGATAAACACATTTAATACTAAATTACGTCATGAACCAACATTAGTTATAAAAACACATCAAAGACAAAGGAGCACTGGACAAGTGTTTCATCCTTGTTTGGGACTTTTCAGTAGTATCCACCCGTAACCTTCAATTTACACAGTAAACCCACTGATTATGCATCCACCAAGTTGGAATTAGATCACACTACCGTCTCGTATAATACTATTCACCTTAAACAATTTCAATCCTTCGCGTTGTTAGCGGGAAATAGGACTTAGAGCTTTTGCTCTGAAGTTTCAGTAGCAGTGAGGTTTACATTTTTACGGGACAGGATCGTTAACCTCATGCGAAAGCTTCTCTTTCTAACAGGCTTATTACCCGCTAAGCAAGGTTAAGGAGTGAGTCGGTCGAGGATCGAACCTTGGACCACATTCGTTGTTGGTGAGTATTCTACCACTGAACCCTCGACGCAAAAAGCGTGTGTGATAGAAAAGGGATTTAAGCCCATGGCCATACTGTGGACTAGAACACCTAGAGCATTCCTCCTCACCCCAACCCCCATCATAAAACTATACTATAATGAAATACTGAGTAAGATATCACCAATACCCTAACAATATTTCTTAAAGTAAAGTAGATTCTAGGAATGAAATTTAGGAAGTATATGGAAGTTTTAAGATAAGTAATTACGTCAACAACAATATATTCACAAACGCAATATATATGCACATAGATAGTCACATAATACCGATTCCTAATTCTCCGTACTTCTCTCTTGTTGAAGAAATACTTTATTGGGGTATTGCGTTTTAAATAAACATTTTAATTTTAATTAACGTTTGCTGTTTTTGCATTTAACTGGAAGAGACAGAAGAAAAAAAACTCCAGAAGAATGGTACACGATTACCTAAGGTATCTATTTAAAAGCTTTCATTTTGTCCTCTTCAGTTTAGATCAGAACTTATTTATAGAGCATGTGAATAGATAAGTAAACTGGTATATTAGTTAGTTAAATAATAAGGTATACTTCCTTAACAGATATAAAAAATTGTGTCTTTTTCAATGTTTCCTCTAACAGAAGTGCAAATCATTAATTGATATCTTTAGTGTACTGCTACAGCACAAAGCGCAGTACACTGAGTCTTCCAGGTAGTTACAGTTTTTACAAAGAATGAACATCAGTAGCAGTTTTATTAGATTGACAACAGGTGTGTATAAATTGTATAATTGAGCTTGTTTCATTTAATTAGTGGACGAAATACACGTATGATTACCTAATATATATATATATATATATATATAAGCTACATTTTGCACAAAAAGTTTTTATATCAAAACTATCACTCCAACTATATCTTAGTCTATTAAATAAATATTCTCCACAGTTGGTTTGTAAGAATTAGTTTTGTTTTTACGAGTTGATCATGGATTGATATCAGTTAGAGAACCATTGAAGACAAGCAGGGAGTACTGGACAGCTGTTTCATCCTAGTTTTTGGGAATCATCGGCAGTACGCACTCACCACCAGTGTTCGAACCCAGGGTCTTCCGGTTACAAGGCAAGGTCGTATACCATTCAGCCACCGGGACCCGATTCAATGGCTAAACTGTAGAAAATTAATCTAATGCTCGCTAGTGACTCGCTACAGGACTTAGTCTCCTGGAGCTCTAGTGAGAAGTCCATACTAGTGAGGTTCATTCAGTCAAGTGTGAGGATGAATGTCCCATCGATGGCATTGGTTGATGGTCGCGCTAAATCACGAATTGGTAGAAGTTAGAATTCATGGGATGGCCATTGAATCGGGTCGTAGTGGCTGAATGGTATAGGAGCTTTACTTGTAACCAGAAGGTCCTGGGTTCGAACCTCAGTGGATGCGTACTGCCGATGATTCCCGATAACTAGGATGAAAAAGCCGTCCAGTACTGCCTGATTTTCAATGGTTCTTTAGCTGATATCAATCCGTGATAAACTCGTGGCGTCGGTGGCACAGTGGTTAGGACTCTCGCCGACCATGAACATGGTCCGGGGTTCGACCCTCTGCCAGCGCACACCCGATATCTATGGTCGGCCTGAATTTGGGCTACCGATATCCATGCTGAAAATTCCATACCTGTACGTAAAAATACGGTGTGGCATCAAGCTGTAATC